TATTCTAGAAAGCTTTCACAGCAGGGATCTGATAGTTGTAGATTTTTCGGGCTATTTGGCCATGTTCTGAAGGTTTCTCTTCCTAACATTTTGCCAGTCTCTGTGGCCGGCATCTTCAAAGGACAGAAGTTAGAACTCTGTGTTCTGGTGTAATGTGTGGGATAATTGAGTCACACACTACACCAGAACACAGAAAGAGTCACAGAGACTGTTGAAATGTTAGGAAGAAAAACTTTCAGAACACAGCCAAACAGCATAAAAAAACCTACAACAACCAATTCAGGTAATACTTTTCTTGGAGTTTTCATCGATCCATCACAGAGAATTGGAACTGCATATATGAAATTGAGGGAACGAAACAAAAATAAATATAAATTATATGCTATACTTTTTATTTCTTATTTTAAAAAAAGTTTAACCCACATCTGTGTAAAGAGAGAGGAATGGGTCTATGCTACAAGGGGCGTTGTATAATCTGTGTTAACATCTAATCAAAAGGTAATACAAAAATGAGAGAGTTGTGATAGAAAACAATGCCCAATGAGAAGATTTTTAAATTTACTGTTCAAATGATACAGTGAAAAAGATAATTATGACATATCACATCTCCTTTCCATGGTGATGACAGCAAACTCCTTACAAAGATATTGATTACTGAGAGGGGAAGAGTGGTTGAAAAGGAAAATAAGGAAGCAAAAGGCAAAATTGCATAAATTTAATTGTGACATAAAAGCAGCAAGTTTGCACATTAACCTATCTTTGGACATACATCAGTATTTGTTGGACAGAAAAGTGAGTTGTAATAGAAGAGATGAGCAAAAACCAAATATTGTAATGACTTATGTGATGAAGTTTGAGAGGCTTGTGAGGATAGAGCATGGGTAGATTTTGCTTTGCTTTAATTTTTGGATACTGCAACTTGTTTTGACCTATTACTCTGTCCCTGACTATGTAATTTGGCTAGATTAATGTGCCAGTAATTGAAAAGTTACAAGCTCAATAGATCCCTTTTCCTTGTTTTGCTTTTCTTTGGTGTCACAAGAACTATTTTTTAAAAAAGTCTCTTGCCAAATGTTACCACTGCAATGACAAGCATGTTATTCCTGAATTTTTCCAATCCTCCAGATTATCATGTGCACAGAGGCCGCAATTAATATCCTTTGAAAACCACCCCCATTTTATTGTCTCAGTTCTTAATGTTCCTTCAATTTTAGATGCACAATTTAATAGTACCACCAGTGTGTTTGCTGTAGTACAACTCCCCTGAAAATTTTTCATTCTGAAACTGTATCACCAGCAGCTTCATTGCACCTCTCATTTCTATCTTATCCACTAGAGATGTAAATTTTTGTTTAGTTCATACTCTCCGGTAAGAGTGAAACATTTCAAACATTTTCTTGCCAGTGCCTGGCCGTGGGAGGGTTTTGTGCAATTTTCATATTCTAGGAGTTGAAGAAATTGTGAAAAGTTGTTTTTTAAATAATCACAACCTGTGCAAACTCCTTATGTTTCACATAAAAATGACAGCTGAAATTTACTTAGGGCTTAAATCACATAGACCATTTGAATTGTTTTTCCCTCCTTTTTTAATATCAATATGTATGTATAGTCACAGGTAAATATACTGTTCACATGCCTGTCAGTTGAATAGGTACAATTCTTGCTATTTGTACCAGTTCTGTAATCTACATGTTACATCTCATTTAATCAATTCATTTTCTGTTTTGTTTCTGGGTCCCCATTGCCTTAATATAATTGTTTTTAATCGTAAGTACATATTGCTAAAGCAGGATATATATGCCATTTTCCTATCACTTCCAACTGTTAGTCAGTGCACCACCTGGTGGGATATGTCACTAGATAAATGTAATAACAACATTCAAAAGAACATAAATTATTGTCAAAAAGCTTATTAACTATATAAACCACAGAAAAACTGGGTTGATGAGTACAATAGGGAAAAATCAGCTAAGTGATACATTAGTAAACTGTTGTGGAGGAAAAAATATATATTAAAAAGTAAACAATTTATTGCTAAGCAATAAGAATGTTTAAAGGGGTACAAGCATGGTGCCCCTAACCCCAACCTATTTGTAAAGTAAATAAATTGCAGCAATGTTCAATGCACTGAAATGATAAAGACCGAAGCAATACAGGTATCAGATCATTTTTAAAAGGCCATGCCAGCGAGGTGCAAAAACCCAATTGGCTGGCCAAATGAATTAATGTTACCCATGTGTTGTGTGAACAGAAATTTATAAAACAATTTATATAAGAGCAGAACTGATATAACTGGGATTCTTTTGGCCTATGTGAGTGCACCCTTAGTTACCCTATCATAGTATAAAGGGTATAATTTCCAGAAGTACCATGCTTCAAGGAAAGAAATCAGTTGATATTAAGCAGTTTCATACTGAATTGTGTGTTTCAGCATGCAATGGTCATGTCTATGGTGATTTCTTAACTTGATACTATTTACATCTAAAAGTTATGACAGTTTTGTGGATATACAAGAGATTTAGTGCAATTATCTTTTGTACAAAATACAAAATATTTGAGCAAAATGAACTTTTTTCTAATGCTACACATTACCTCTCACATAAATCAATCCATTTTCTGTTTGGTTTCTGGGTCCCCACTGCCTCATTACTATTTTTTAATCATAAGTACATATCACTAAAGCAAGATATACATGCCATTTTTTTTTGCTGGTGGAGAAAACGTCTGTTCTTTTTGCACTTGTGTAGAAGTAAAAAAAATCAAATTTTTCCCAATAATGTGTTCTGATGGATTGAGAGACACTTCTGTTGTTGTTTCAACTTCTATTTGGCACCTCATAGTGCCAAAGCATGCTCTGTGAGGTTTACATAGTAAAGTAATTATGCAAGGAACATTTTGCCCCCCACAAGCTGTGTATTCATTTTGCTGACCTTGGAAGGATGGAAGGCTGAGTCAACCTTAAGCTGGCTTCATTTGGATTGAACTTAACCTTTAGCTGAATCTATTGAGATTGAACTCGGGTCATGAGTAGAGGCTTAGCTGCAGTACTGCAATTTAACCACCATGTCACAGGGCTTGCACTTCTTTTGGAGATGATAAGAAAATACGTATTACATCCTTGCTCTTCACATAGCTGAAATGTGGTAATTCTCCTCTCTCCCCCCCACCTCCCTCCCTCATTTTTGCAATGGTAAAGCACTTGGAAGGATATCTCAATGCTTTCAGAAGGATCCATCTCCTTCCCAGGTAAGCATGATTAGGATGAGCATGTTTCAATCTAGATGAACCCCCAAACATTAACTCAGTATAGTGGTGCCTCGCAAGACGATTGCCTCACGGGACGATTAATCTGCAAGACGATTGGTTTTTGTAATCGCTGTGGCGCTTCGCAAGACTATGTTTTCTATGGATGATTTTTGCAAGACAATGATTTCCCCCCACTGGAACGCATTAAATAGATTTCAATGCATTCTAATGGGGAACTACGTTTCACAAGATGTTTTCTATGGACGATTTTCACAAGATGATTTTTTCCCCATTGGAACGCGTTAAATAGATTTCAATGCATTCCAATGGGGAAACTGCGTTTCGCAAGATGATGTTTTCTACGGACGATTTTTGCAAGACAATTTTTCCCCCATTGGAACGCATTAAATAGATTTCAATCCATTCCAATGGGGAACCCTGTTTCGCAAGACAATGTCTTCACAAGATGATGTTTTTCGTGGAATGAATTAACATAGTCTTGCGAGGCACCACTATAGTTGAATTGAAAAGGGGGAAAAGTATTTAAAAATTACATGATACATCATATTGCGGATAAGTACATCTGAGCCTGGTTAGAGCCTGGATAGGTGACTGCTTGAAAACAATGTGTAACAATGTCTATTTATTTTAGCAAAAGCAGAAATAGAAATACTGTATGAACATGGATAGCAATCTATTTCTTCAGACATATGTGTCTGAATTGTTTTGTTTTTGTTGCTCCTTATGTGTATGGCACTTCAGATCCATGGAAGAAATATGGGGTATAACATAAATAAATAAACAAAACTTCACTGGAAAATAAAGGTACCTTATACGTGATGAACAGGTATATGAAACACAGGAGCTTAGGTTTTAAGCTTTCTAAGCTAAATATAAATACACTGGAAGTAGAGAGTCCTTTCTGTTAATTATGCAATGACAAATTTCTATTAAGTGTGACATTTCTATTAGTGAGAAATTGGCAATTCATTCTTAATAATTAAGAATGCTAGGTAAACAGCTCTCCAGATTTTCTAAGCATTTTACCATAAAGATAGGTGCAGTTCAATTTTTCACAAAAGCTGCATGCTTTTTAAAAAATTGGTATTTCAGAAATTCTGTTCTAATACAGCCTTCTTTTAACTCCTTACTGCTAAAAGGGTGGATAAAATGTTGAATTCAGTTGCTACATTCTTAAAGTACATGTGCATAAGTACATAAAAATGATGGAATTCCCATCCCCCCCTTATTGAAACATTCAGTCATTATGGTATTTTAAAACAAGTTCAGTAAAATGAACTTTCTTCAAATGAAGTGTTTAGATGAGGTTTGACTATTGCCTCTACTGGGCTTTCTTCATATTTCATCACTTGTTTATACTTGAGGTTTAACCTTTTTAAACACACATATTAATATTAACATTAACACTCTGGCTGACAAGTGACAGATAAGGAAAGGATTCACCTTAAAAAAATCTCACTGACACAGAATACTTAACAAAGGTTCATGTATGTCTTCCATTTTATTTAAGAGTCCAAGAGTCCATATTATGAACTCTTTAAGGTCCAATAAAAGAGGCTGTGTTGAATATTTTTCATTTTCAGTTAAATTACTAAAAACAACACATTTTAAATAGATAAAAATAAAATTAAAGAATCCTCCTGGAACCATATATTAACTTCTTGCTACAGGGGTATGACAAGACAATAGAGATTCTACAAACCACAACACACATAAAGAAGTAACTTTCTTGCCTCGGGAGATTTTGAATGTTCTGTGCGGCCTCCTTCTCATGCTCTCCGCTGACTTCCCTTTGAGGACAGAGATTATATAAATAATTGTTTCAAAAACAGCTTGAGAGGTGGCCTGTCTGGATACCAAATTGTGTGACTGGGCAGTGTGTTAGGCAGGATTTAAAGAATAAAAATATTTTGCATCTCTCTGGGCAGTACTTTGTTGAATTCTTATCTAGTTAAATGTATGCCCACTGTTTGCTCAAAAAGAATTATTTATACTAAGACACAAATTCATACTGAAAATAGAAGATTGCCTGCAGGGATAATTCAACTGATTAGGTTTTATTCAAAAGTGACAGGTATAGTAATTATCTATAATTTAACAACAAATAATTTTGCTTGTTCCCAGCATAATCTGTCTAGCTGTGTTAGCTTCATTATCTGCTTTCAGCATCTTGAAAAATAAACTAACTGGCCCTCCTTTATATGATCTGAACCACCAGAAAGATTATTTAGCATATTTGGCCTTTACTGCAGTAAGTTCTGCAAAATACAGCTTTTACTCTTCTGGAGTACTGTTAACCTATCCCAAAAACTGAACTGAACTGTTGCTGCTTGGAGTTTATAATGGGACACATGCAGACTATTTCTACAACTAAAGAATCCAGCAAAGGAGTGAAGGGAGACAAAAGGTTGCCAATCTGATAACAAGAAAAAAAAGGTTGGGAAGAGGGAAATGAATTTCTCATTTTTGGTGGTTTTCCAAACCCATACCTCTTAGCAAGAGTGTCCCCTGCAGCCAGTCTTCTTGCTTTCCCCTCCCCACTTCTGATGAATCCTCCATAGTCTGGCAATTCTTCCATAAAAAAAGACCATGAAACCTCAGAGAAATTCAACAAGAGTTCCCTTAAGATTTCTTGGGTTGGGTGGCTCACATAGAGAAATCTTTGCATGGGAAACTGATACCCTCTCCCCCAGTTTGATGAACATCTCAATTAGGTCAGTTAGGCATCCTTCAGTCTTGAAAGACTATGGTAACATGCTCTGTATGGAGGACTTGGAAGAGCATCTGGTGTGGCTGAGGAGGCCAATTTGAGAGTGACAAGCTAATGAGGTGTGATTGTCACACCTCAATACCTTCAGCATATATGAAAGATTTCAAGACATAGTGCTAACTTAATATTTGTGCGCTATAGATAAATGCGACCCTAAGAAGATTCTGAGGAAAAATACAAAGCACCACAATGTAGGATCATTATATGAAAGCAGCATTCCCCAGCCAAAGGATCTTTTTTGCTGGAAGGAAGCAGGGGACAATTGCCCTAGGCCTCATATATATATAATGTGGGCCTCACATGTTGAAGGTTCAACTGGAAGGAAGCAGGGGACAATTGCCCTAGCCTCATATATAATGTGGGCCTCACATATTGAAGGTTCATTGAGAAGGTAAGGAGGGGCATTGAATGTTCTGCTGCAGATCTCACCATATCATTAACCAACCAGCCATGTTCGGCTACAACTCCCATTATCCCCAAGCACCATGGAGATATGGTGGTTCTTCTCTTTTCTGCAAAACCACTTCCAGAGATGAGATCAGTACTGAAGAATATCCACTTAGTGCTTTAACTGCAGGCTATGGCAAGGTTTCTATTCTCCATGCGTTTTACCACCCTATAAGTGCTGTTGGATGAGTTCATCTGGAAATTTTGGATGGTGCAGCTTTAGTTTTTTGCTGTCTGTGAATGAGGTGAGATAGCATGGCGTTGGGCTACAGCTAGGAGGAAGTAATGGGGGAACCTATGGGGGATAATGCACTGAGGCTGAATCCTCACAAGAATGGTGCTGTTGGAGGACAACTCATTTGGACTATTGTAATGCTCCCTATCTGAGAGTATAACTGAATATGATTTACAGGCTTCAGCTGGTGCAAAATGTCACTACTCAGTTACTAGACAGTGTGCAAAACTAGAGCATATTAGGCCCAAGTAACTGCTGGAGCACCTCTTCTGGTATGTACCAATCTTTCACTGAGATCTTTGGGGAAGGTCCAACTTGTGGATCTACATATGGGAGATGCTCAGGGAGAAGTGACCCCAGTGAGGCCCTTCTCAGTTCAGACATTTTTGTTAGGAAACTCTCTACCATTATGGGGGTTCATTAGGCATCTTTTGTAACTCAAATTCACCTGTTGCCCACAGTGCACTTATTTACTGAGGCTTTTGATGAATGTTTGAGCATCCTTTCTGTTTAACAGTATATAACTACCATTGACAACTAAAAGGACTTTATATATGTTAGGGGTTCAGTAGTAGTAGTCTATGTGTTGTGTAATATACTACATGTTTTTTTTCTTTTCATTTGTGAATTGCTTTGTGATTTTGCTTATGAGGACCCAGTACTTGCATAAAAATAATGACTACAACTTCCAGAATCTCCTAAGATGGACAGAAATTTCTGGGATTTGGAATCCAAAGTACAATTTTTCAAAGCATTGATTGAGAGAGAAAACCAGGATCTTAATATCTGGTGCCGTCTAGTCACAAGAAACTCCACAATGAACTTCAGAAGCAGCTATCAAACAGGTAGCCCCTGTTGGAACCTTCAGAACTTTTATACAGTATACTGTTACTCCAAAAAGTATTCCTGGAAGTGTAGATAGTAACACAGGGCTAATTGTCTTTGGATGCAAAGTACAATTGAAAAGAAACTTGGAAGAATTGGAGATCAAGACCTTTCAGTTTGAATCTACCTTTCCACTCTTCCAGGAAGTAAAACACAACTCCAACTAAAAGATCCTTTAAGTTAGGGTGTTTCAATGAATAACTGTTTATTACAGTCAATGAGACCATGTCTCATAATTTCAAAACAGCAGAGAAGGACTTGGTTTATAAATAATCAGATACATATAATATCTTAATTTAGCACCAATTTAAGGCAGCATTTTCTGAGACAGACAGGACCACTTCATATCAGTAAGTCTGTTCAATTTTTTTATCATTTCAAAAGAGTGACAGTCACTGATTGCTATAGGGCTGGTATCTTTAGTGATCTTACATGCATTCTGGCTCATCTAAGGATGGTTTAAACAACCTGACAAGAATATGTTCATGTCAAGATTAACTGTATGCTATAGGCATGTTACGTTGACAGTGATTACTCTTGGGTGATATCGTGCATGGCATCTTATGATGAAAGGCTATCATGAATTAATTGCAATCATTACCTGAGCAGCATGGTTAAATCCATTTTGAAAGTTGCTAAAACATTACATTTACTAACTTCACTCCTCACAGGATATTTCAGGTTATCAAGAGACAACTGCAGCCGCCTAGAGTGGTCTTTTAGACCAGATGGGTGGGGTATAAATCAAATAAATAAATAAATAAATAAGGTGTAAGTAATGTAATGTATAAACTACATTACTTATACTTTTTAATTTCATAATACTTCTTGATTAAAATTATTGAAATTATTAAAGTAGGTTGAGTGAAAGTTTGTAGCAAAAAACTTGTTTTTTTTAAAAAAAGCAAGTTATGTATTTATCATATGAATATAGTTTCACCACCCCATCATACTTTAGCATGATAAAATAGAATAAAAGGCAAGTTTGTGCAAATGAAAACTGTGGTTTATGTAGACACAGTACAGCTTGCTTGGTTCTCAACTGTTGAATTCTGTGGAAAATTCTCTGTCTGAGACATAGTTGAGTGGGAGCATGGCCTGTCCTTCAACCCAGATCCTAGGATCATTATGAAGAGTTCAATTTGCATCCTACTCTTAACAGTTCAGGATCCAGCTATCCTCTTGCTCTAATGTGGGAAAATTGTGCTTCCCAATTAGATTCCAACTCCCAGCATTCCTCATCACTGACTAGACTGACCTAGGGCTGACTGCAGCTGCAGTCTGACAGCATCAGGAGCAATGCACTTTCCCCATTCCTGCTCTGAGGCCATCTATCAGTGATGTCTCCCTCTGTGTGGCTTCCCAGTCAGAAGTGAATTAGGTGGCAACTAAAGAGAAGTAATTTGTGATTCTGGCACCCTGAGGATGCAGTGGTTTCCTCTTGGGGATGGTTGTTTTGGGGGGAAAATATGAAGCAGAAAACTTTCCAGTTGGTCAGCCTTTTAAAGCATTTTACCTTACACTTCATTATACTTGAGTGCCCCATTTATCCAGTGGCATAACTTTTATCTGTGGCTTTATGCATCTGCATTTTTAAAACCTCACAGAATGTCCTTTATCAAGATGGATGGATGAGACAAAAATATTTAAATAAATAAATCCAGATGAGGCCTCAGATTGAACAAACATAGCCATAGTTCTACCTAGGTTTACAGAATACTTGATACAGCAAATGCGGTGATAGAATTTATTTATAATTATAAAATATGAAGAATTTTATCAGTGAAGCCTTACTTTGATTTCTTCATGCATACCCAGTAAGCAACACCAGCAACCAGAGCTGCTAGAAGAAGACCAACCACGATTCCTACTATTAGTTTTGCTTGGTCGCTAACATTTTCCCTGTTGTCATCTAAAACAAAAGAAAGAAAAGAAAAAAAATGATGATAAAGACTGCTGATCAAACTAAGAATGGAACACTCACTATGGATTATAATTATCCTATTCAACTATATTCTAAAGTTGAACGTAAGAGAACAAATATAACTGACAAATGTTTGGGTTTCGGTGACCCTTGTGCTAAACCCAATTGTTAGTTTGAGTCAGAACAGACCCATTGAACAAATGGGACTTTTTACAATATTTGCATAAATCCCATTGCTTCAGTGGGTCTATTCTATTACCAGTAAGTGGGATTTAGTCCTTAAGCTGTCTTTCCATAGCTCTTCTTTTATCCCATTTACTTCAAGAGAAAGGGAAAAAGATCACTTCCGAGGTTTCACCAGCTAGCTATACATAGGGTTTCTACAACTAAAATACTCATATCCTGTGTTTCATAGGCAATGATGCTTACTTAAAATTAACCGCAATCAGACCATTTTTTTCTCTATGCAAGTTGCAGATGTTCCCAGCTCAGTCTGGATCAGAGAGGCAATCAGTTAAAAAAAAATTAAAACCCCATTCCCACACATTGAATAAAGGAAAAGATATACAGTACAGTGGTGCCTCACAAGATGAATGCCTTATGGGACGAAAAACCCACAAGATGAATGGTTTTGCGATCGTGTTGGTGACTCATAAGACAGCTTCTTCTATGGCCGTGCTTCGCAAGAAAATTTTTCCCACAAGACCGATGCCTCGCAAGAAGAAAATAATTCATTCATCTTGCGAGGTTTCCCATAGGAATGCATTGCAATGCATTCCTACTCCTAACAGTTCAGGATCAGCTATCCTCTTGTTCTAATGTGGGCAAATTGTGAAACCGCTTTTTGCAAGATGAAAATTTCACAAGACAGTGCTACTCGTGGAATGAATTACTTTCGTCTTGCGAGGCACCACTGTATATATTTTTCCTTCCATATTTATAAACTATGCATTAAAGTTATGTTGCCTGGCCTTTTGACTATATAGCTCCACTCCCTAAACTAGAACTGACAACTGAATGTCAAAGGAGCTTAAATTGCTGCTTTTTTGGGGGGGAGGAATGACTTGTCAATTACAGCTTTATTCTTTAAAATCATACAGCACTCAGTTGCAGTCCTTTTACAATGTTTCTTATTGCTTTTTTTAATGTAAAGTAAAAGCAAATAGTGTTTCAAAGAGGCAACTTTCTTTGCTTACCTGGTTAATATAGCCTCAGTTGGATCCAGATTTGGTCACATCTAGAGCAGACCCATTTCAGTATCATGGATTTTATTGAACCTAATCAGGAGTGTAAGCCTAGATTCAACATTGGAGCCTAGATTCAACTGCTAGCCCCATTGAGCCACTGAGCCAAGGGGATTCACATAAAAGTTGTCTTAACATCAAACAGTTCATTTTACTCTGTTTGGGACCAGCAACTGGATTTAAACTCATATCTTAAAAATGGCCAAAATACTGTTGCTTAGTGCAGTATGTTGCACTAGAGTGGGACTGATGAGTCAACAGAGAAAAACCCACAAGAACCATTCAACAGAGAGTTAGTGGCTCAGATCCTTCATAAACTCCATCGATTCAAATGGGCTTACTCTAACTGCAAGTTATTATGATAAAATAAGTCACAGTTAGAGTAGATCCATCTGAATCAATTGCATTTATGGAAGAGTTGACTCAACAAATCCATACTGTCTTAACTGCTGGATAGCTCAGTGGTTTAGGCATCTAGCTATGAAGGCAGATGTTGGGAGTTTGATTCCCCATTGTGTGTCCTTAACAGGATGATCCATAGGGTCCCCTTCCAGCTCTGCCATTCTAAGATTAGTAGATCAACTCCAGAGCAGTTTACTATGCTAAGCAACAGAATCTTGGCATTTATATATATATCCTAGTCTAAGCAGTCTCTTTGGTAGACAGTGGGAATTACATAGATGTACTATATTTTGACTTAGAGAAGCATTTGATAAAGTGCCCCATAATATTCTGATTAGTAAATTAACTAAGTGAGCATTGGATAAAACAACTATTAACTGGAAACAAAGTTGCTTATGGAATCATACCCAGAGAGTGCTAATCAAGGGCTCCTTCTCAAACTGCGAGAAGTAAGAAGTGGGGTAACATGAGGCTCAGTCTTGGGGCCACTGCTCTTCAAGATCTGTATTAATGACTAGGATGAGGAGGTACAGTAAAATCTGTGGATATGGGTATAGCTAATACCCTGGAAGACAAAACCAAAATTCAAAAAGATCTTGATAGGCTTGAGCGCTGGGTCGAAAACAACAGAATGGAATTTAACAGGGATAAGTGCAAAGTTCCATACCTAGCAACCAAATGCCCAGTTAAAAAATGGGGGATACTTGGCTCATGCAATAACATCTCGGAACTGTTGTAGCTCACAAGCTGAATTATGGCTGCCAAAAAAAGGTAAATGCTATTTTATTCCGCATTAGTGGGAGCATTAATCCCATGAATCCAAATCCCATTAAGTACTAGTTCCCTCTATTTGGTACTGGTTAGGATTCATCTTGAGTACTCTGTCCAGTTCTGGACATTGCACTGTAAGAAGGATGCAGATAAACTGGAACAAATTCAGAGGAAGGCAACAAGGATGATCAGGGGACTGGAAACCAAGTCTTATGAGGAAAGACTGAAAGAACTGGGCATCTTTAACCAGAAGAAAAGAAGACTGATAACACTTTTAAAATGTGAAAGGTAGTCGTCATACAGAGGCAGGGCAGGATATTTTATCAATCCTTCCACAATGCAGGGCATGTAATAATGGACTGAAGTTACAGAAAGCCAGATTTCAGTTGAGTATCAGGAAAAAACTTTCTAACTGTTGGAGCAGTACAACAATGGAACAAATTAACTTGGGAAACAGCGAGTGCCACAACACTGGAGGCATTTAAAAGAAAATTAGATGCCTTCTATTTGATTTGGATTATTGCACTGAGCAGAGGGTTGGAGATGATGGTTTTATAGAGCCTTTTCCAACTGTATTTTTCTATGATTCCATGAAATTTTAAAATATTCCTACCTCTATCTGAAGTAGAGAGCAGATTAGTAATATGCATAAAGCATTTTTCATCTAACCATGCCAAAAATGTGGTAGTCTATTATTTTATATACTTACCAGTTTTTTCTTCTAGATCCTCAGAATCTGGTATACTTACTGAAAAGAAAAAAAATACTAAAAAACTGCTACATGAAAGTCACCTCTGAAACTTCTAATCTTCTATGATATTTAACAATAAAATCAGCTATTTTTCAGCTGAGGCAGAAGCGTTAACACTTAAGGCAGCATCTACTATACAAGGAAATGAATAATATATATTTTTAGGCAGCAATCCTCATTTTATATCCATAATGTATCATATGAAAGTACTTCATTCTGAAATTGACAAGTTTAATCTTATAAATGCTTAGTCAGAAGAAGTATTTATGTGTTATTTTGTATTGCCTGCTGACTTTTCATCACTTTATTATCGTAGACAGAGAACTGATTAAACTTTTACACCCTTGGCGAACCCAGGCAAACTTCCCTTAATCAATGTGTGTGCTGGAGTCAACAAACAGAGAAGGATGCTGCACAATTCTTTGAGATTGCCCCACATGTTCCACTGCAAATCCAACAGGATAGAATATACCCCCAGAAAATGAAATAATTCATAAATCTGGGAGATACTGTAAAATATATAAGGTACCGAACTAATCTATCTGAAAATAAAGTTCACTAACAGAAGCTGCATAAAAGAATGAGTTTAATCCTGAATAAATAGCCATGCATTCAATTGCCGAACAGCCTGTGTGTTGTACAGTAATTGAGCACTTACTTGTTAATCCTCACATCATATTTATAATTTAGTCTCAGAGGTACTGTATATTCAAAGCATTCAGTGTGCAACATTTTTAATATGGGAAACAGATTTCAGAGCAACTCAGGTTTCTTCATGAGATGTGACTACAGCCCTGTTCAGTTGTTAGCAAACCATGTGAAGAGGGGAGAAGTGTAGCCCTGCTTCCTTCCATTTCTGGTTCCATGTGTTAGACGTGTGATGAATCTGAAGCTGAGAGTTTCTGCTACTACTTCCATGTATGTTGGAATTGAGCAAAATCAGTGTCTGGACTCATGGGGAGAGAGTTCATCAGAAGATGGGAGGGCTCTCCTTTTCACACTCACTGTTCCCCATGTATAGGAAAATGAAAAAACTAGAAACGTGGCAAGTGCACACAGTGTGCTAATGACTGAATGAGGATTGTGTATTCCTACGATTGTCTAGGCAGGTTTATGATGTAATTCAGAGCAGATAACTTGAGTCGTTCTGGGGGCTGATCTAACCATTCAGAGGCTACAGAAAATGTAAGATGAATGTCTCCTGAAATGAAGATTACAAACTGAGGACATTAACTAAAACACCTTCTTGGGCTGTAATCTTTGCTTCCTCAGTCCAAGATCTGAATCTGGAAGAGGCAAAAAGAAGATGCTTTATGGCATGTTGGTGCAGATCATGACAAGGCCTGAACCATATCCATTTCCCCAATATGGCTCAAGAAGTGGGAGGAAATGTATGCCAGTCGTGCCATTGGGGGGGGGGAGATAAAAAAGAAAGGGAAATGGCAAAGGGGCAAAGGGGGATGTTATTAGTGAATCAAAGAAGAAAAAAAGTTGGCCTTCAGCTCTGAAGTTCTAAGATGATGATGATGATTCCCTTTTACTTTGTTGACATGAGATCAGCGGTCCGTGGAGAAGGCTTTTTCTGCATTGTCTGATCTCCCATCTGGCCACTTACAGGACTGTTCTGTTGTCTTGTACAGAAAATATACGAGGTACGTTTCAGATTACATGGTCTTTAAAAATAATAAAGGCTGATAATAATGCAGCCCCCTCCTTCTAAGAAAATAACACCATGCTTAGCGGATGAAAAGCCAATGTAGGAAAAATGCTGGGTTTTGCAATTTGTCTCTGTGGCATTGAGACTTATAACTGAGAAGTGTGTTAGTATAACCCAACTCATTTACATCTCTGGGCATGTTCCTGAAAAAAGAACAAGTGTCAGAATTTGCCATGGTAACACAGTTCTAATGGGGTAGTTGCTAAGTGTATTTTTTTGCCTCTTTGCTTGTCTGTAGGGAACAGTGAAGCAACTTGTAAACAAAATTCCAGCACAGAGGCACTCATGACTAAGGACAATAATGCCTATTTTGTGTGAAAGTGCAGAGAAATACCCCATCTTCTGCCCCTCTTATTGTTCTCTTTTTTAAAAAAAGAAGATTCTATAAATATGTAAGCTACAGAATAATCTGTGTGGTTCTGTTGCTCACATTCAAAAGCTACACAAGAGGGAGAAACTACAGAATTGAAGGAAAAGAAGTCTATCACTAGAAGAATAAAATTAACTATTCAAATGGCTGAAGTACTGTATTTTGAATGCCGAAAGAAAAGCTAAAATCCTTCATTGAGAATTATTTCTGTTTTGTCTCTAGACAATCTCTCTCTCTCTCTCTTTTTGGTAGAACCAGAAAGTGCTCTGTTATTTCATCTACATTTTTGGATAGCTGTCTGTCTAATAAATGGTGTCGCCTCATAGACATCTATGCCTTTTGGCTCATGAAGAATATCTAAACTGGGAAAAAAAAACAGCTAATCCATACAATCCCTCCCAGATGCACACCATCTCCAGGACTGGCATAAATTTCCTCCCAATTCTGGAAGTGTCATGGAAAATCTTCTCACAATACCCCCGCTCAGCATTCTTATGTTTTAAAACATCTTCTGAAATCTTACTTGATGGTGCACGTTTTTCTCACTTATAAAATTGATTTTGATTCTGATAGTCCTTTTGTTTTAAAGAAGAGCATATTATATTTCAATTTTTCAGGTGCCAGTACAATAAATAGAGTGACAGACTAGAATTCAGAAGATGGGGTTCTATTTTCCCCACACTTGGCCAGGAAATTCACTGGGGGCTGGAGGTGGCAGCAATGATAAATCACCACTTGCACATCGCACACGCCTTGAAAATCTTATTAAGCTCACCATATGTCAGATGCAACTTGACATCACATATATATATTATCTGTAATTTTCTAAGTGTAATTCACTTAAGAGATTGTATTATGATAAGTGGTGTAAGTATATTTATTTATGAATAAATAAAAATAAAAAGTAAGTAAAAGAAATGTACTTACTAGCAGATACATTCAAAGAATTCACTGTTCTTTCTAGCTGATTTTCTGCAATGCATGTTAGTGTAACATTCTCTTCAGGAGCAATTCTGACTTTACTTGTAAACTTTCCATTGATATATTTTGTTTCCTCTGTCTGGAAAGAAAAAGTGGAAGGAAGGGAGAAAAAATCACTGGAAAAACAACAAAATTGTGCATTTCTTTGTGCCAACATTTTACACAGGGTGAGATCAGTTTTTTCTGTTAAATATTCCCATTAAGTCAAACTCTGTTAAGTATGTATTAATGAAATATTCAGGAGGAGAAACACCGTTTATGACTTATCCTAAATATGTACCAATATTCATATCCTCTCAACTTTTCCCTTCCATTCTCTGCCATGGAATATTGTGCAAATGGGTAGGTTTTCTTGCTTGTTTACTATTAGTCACTTTTATTATAAAGGTACCATTAGTCCAGTTTATAATAACAACAATCTTAGAACTACAGAGCTGGAAGGGACCCTATGGATCATCAAGTCCAGCCGCCTGTCAAGATGACATAGTGGGGAATCAAGCTCTCATTCCTAAATCACTGAGCTATTTAGCAGTTCATATAATCTGCTTATACATTTAATGGGCTGGATCTAATTGTAAGCACAAACAACTGGGCTAGTAGATGACAGGCATAACAGGTCCTCCAGCACACTAGAAATACAGTGCAAAATTTAAGGGTATCCTGTTGAGTGGAATGAATTACAGGATAGCGAAGGAGGAGGACACCTGGATATAAATAACAGCTTATCCAGATGCCTACTACCATCCACAGAAGGCAGATGCTGAATCTGTTCAAAGCTGACTTCAGCCCACTGAAGGTCAGTGTAACTTTAGCCCTATGCAAACTAACTTAAAATGATCCCCACTGAACTCTGAGAAACTTATTTCTGCCCAATATAGATAGTATTATGTTGTTCACTTTTTTTATTTAGTAACTTTATTAAACTGGCTGGATTGTTTAGGTATCTGGCTGAAGAGCCAGAAGCTTGGAGTTCTATTCTCCACTATATGTCTCAGAAAAAGAGCCAGCTTGTGTTTCTTTGGGTAAGCTGCACAGTCCCAGGATGTCCTGAGAAGAAGGAAATGATAAACCACTTTTGAATATTCTTTACCTAGAAAACACTGAAAAGGATTGTCATAAGCGTTGGTGGAACGTGATTATTTGTTTACTTAATTTTATTTATTAGATATTGGCCAGAATCCTATTGCAACTACATAGTGTAAACCAGAGATTGTGTGACTGTGTATATGATCAAACCATCTGTCTGTCATGCTCACACAGTATTGTACCTGGCTGCATGATACACACCTCCAAAACTGAGAAAAATATATTTCAATGGATCTACTTTTGATTATCTACAAGTCTTGCATAAGGCGTTATAGGTAACATATTGTATGCCTATCATGATTCACAGGTGGAAAAAAAACATCTTTGGTTTACATTCTACATATTTTTGAAAAGTGTCATTCACTATTTTTGAAATGAATAAACACACAGCTAATGAGAAAATTACTTGCTTTATTTATGACTCCTCCAGTGCTTGTCCATTGTACTGCTGGTTTGGGAAATCCTTCCACATGACAGGCTACAGTTTTATATGATCCATCTGTGCTGGTTCGCTTTGACATTTTGATCTGTGGTTTTCCTTAAAAATCGAAAAGGGAAAAATGCATGTATTAAATGTGTATTGCATTCATTTTGCTCTACAAATACTCCAAATTCAAAAACAGTTAATATTAAAATGAAAAAAACATACTGAAATTAAAACATAATTAGCTAAGACTGGTGTCCTAAATGCATTTAAGGGTACATTCCACTGAACTTTGCAGCTAAAATCCTGTTGCTTATTGTGGTGAGCTGTAACTAAAGTACAGTATCTTAGATAGGCACAGCATTGGAAGGAAGATTAATGATACAAGCAAATATCTGTGCAAAATATGGCTATTCTCAGAAAGCTTAGCCATTTTTATCTTCTTCCGAAGTCTGCAGTATCAGATTTAAATGGGTCTCTTCTGGGAGAGCAATTTCTAAGTTATGAACCTATATGTAAATTAGATTCAATAGCATTATATGATAATGAGTCAGTCTCACATTACCTTGTACTATCAGTGTAAGTATTTGCCTTTTCTTTAACCCTTCAACTTCCTGTAAAGTAGTTTCACATATGTAATTTCCTGCATCTTGGTACTGTAAGCTTGAAAAAGATGGAATTGATCGCAGTCTGGCATTGTCCTGATTAAAAAAGCAGCAAGTTAAACAGTGCAGATCAAATCATGAACATCTTTAAACAATTCTTGAACCTGATTATCTGGATCTCAGGCAGGACTCTAGCTCCTGCAAATAGAGAGATATTATTATGTTCCTCAGCAAGCTGAAAACGGATACTTTAATACTATTTTCTCAGCTATGCCTGCAGACTTTACTGTGCAGCTTCACAGTAAGTCATAACGTGTTGACTTACTGTTCAGCCGCTGACTCAGCAGATCTAGCCTAGCTGGAAATTACAATTGGCTTTAGGTGTATATTTCCAATATACTGGTCAGACTTTCTAACTTTTTATTGTTTTTCCCTCCCTCAATTTTTGTACTATCTTGTTTGATGAAAAGTTCTGGAAGGTGACAAGATGAAAGCCTGCACTACTTCTGGCAGCTTTTGTTGTTCTAATAAAGACATTCTCAGCTTTGATTTTCATCTTTAGAAAGGGCAGCCAACCATTTTCATTAACATACACTTCAGTCAGGTGGAGCGACTGCAGCGAGGGCAGAGGGATTTCCCAGGGCTCTGGGGAACCCTGTATAAACTCCAGGTCAGCAGACCACCCAGCAGTGGAAGGGGGGCAAGATCTATAGGAGAGTCGTCTTGCAGGGAAGGAGAGCTGGAAAAACTCAGAATTCAGACAGCAATCTGTCTTGATGAGAGTTTTCTGTTCTCAAAGCATCTGGCCTTCGGGTGAATTAGCTGCCTAACCTTGCCAAGGAGGGAAGTGTGAAGAAAACTACAGTATTGCTTGACTGCATGAACTGTGAGTAACTGGCCTTTTATTTAGCACCAGCAAACACAGATCAAACTCAATACAAATAAACATGAGTAAAGAATATAATATAGGTTAAAGATTTTAGTACTGTAATACAGTTATGCAGTCAAGACTACATATTAGATACTGTAATATGGTAAACACTTCCCTGCGTGTATGTTTTGTATGTGTTGTTTCCTTGTTATATAATTTTAAAATAAACATACACTTCTGTCAGACTAACTGCAGTATCCAGGGAGATGACCAAAATGGTACCAGGAAATCTTCATATTTGATTCTTAAATAAAACTGTTATTAGACAAATATTATTCTCTCTATTTGGGCTGAATTATTCCCCCTCCAACAAAGAAAAATAGTAAAAAACTACAAATGATCTGAATGTTTTAGATTAAGAAAGTGCAACCCCTGGCCCATAGCCTTATCTCATGTGGCTGTTGACATAACTTCAGGGTAATCTGTTCAGGCCTTTGCAAAGACTATTTGTCCTAGCAACTCAAAATGCACTAAGGAAAATGAAGAGACAGAGAGGAAATAGAGTGGCAAAGAGAGAGAGAGAAAAAAAATGTGTGGATTCATCTTTTGGTTCTGGGCTAGTCTGTTGCTGGTATGCATGCCCTCCCACAAACATACCTATCCCTAAGGAAACAGAGTGTGAAAAGGGGGTGCTCACATCTGTTTTAAAGGAATAACAAATGCTACAATATTTGAACTTCCTTCCACTTTCTTTCTGTCATCTGTTCATGGAACCTGTAGGTCATGCACAGGTTTTTGCCCAATCACAGCTTTCTTCATGCAACAATAATTAACTGCTGCACCCTGCCAGTATCCTCATTGCTTGCAGCCCTCCTCTCTCTTTGTGGTTAGTGCCTCCAAAGCATGATACTCATAAGCTCTTAAGACATGGAATATAGCTGCACAGCTGGATGTGCCCTGCCCATGAAGCACATATTGTAGCTGTCTCGGATTTGGTAACACTATGACTCTGCAAAGTGAATGAATGGAGAAAAATGACTAAAGCAGACTAGGCAATAATCCACAGCCAATTGTTCAGCATCAGTCAAATCTTTGATGTCTACATACTTATCAGAATACAAATCAGCACATGAAGAAATCAATAGGCTGGTTAGAATTCAACTAATGTTAATAATATTGTCAAAACCTTTCAATACTCATTTAATTATCTCTATAGCTGTAGATTTACTTTTCCCCAGCTGTGACTCATCAAAAGCTGTCTCACAATGTACAGTGGTTAATTGATTTAAATTTTTATGGCAATGGGAAGCTAGGGCAGGATGCTTGGGGCAGCAATTATTGACTAGACTTCAAGATTCATACTGTCAACCTTCTTTATTTACTATTACAAAATAATTCTCAAACAAACCACCTAGCCAAACATACAGTTGTATTAAAAGTGATTTAAATTTAACATCCATGTACTCTATGCAATGCACCTTATCCAGAAGCAGAAAACTGACCCTTATGAAGTATAAAACAACGCCCGTCCTCTTTCCTCCAACCGGCTACGAAATTCTTAGATATACTGACCAGCAGCCTGTTTTCCCCTCCCCTCCATGGCAACAGGATAGGAGTAATCTGCTTTGATTTGGGGTTTTGTGTGACTTTCACACAATGAGGCAAAGCTGTGTGCAATCCAAAATTGAAGCAGGAACTCTTTAATTACAGTCAATGTGCCACTGCAGTTGATGTCATTCCCAATAGGATTCTGGCCACTTATTTATTTATACTGTTTATTTACATGACTACGTCTATCTCTTCTTCTAATTCATACACTTCATTTAGGATAATTTACAACTAAGTTTGCAATACAAATATATCATGGAAGGAAACGGAAAATATCTCCCCCCCCCATGATTTTAGATTCCCTCCATTCTCCTTAACTAAGTCTGTGGCTTGTGAAAACCTTCCTGAAGTATTGTTGTTAAGCAATTGCATGTACCGACCTGCAGACTGAACACTATGTCCACTCCTTTCTTTTTCTGTCAACTCCTCCTCTCCTGGCTTGCTTTCTTAGACAGGATAATATATTTGCAAGCCTCTTCTCTTACATCTTACTCATCATTTCATCCCCACAAATGTGACATTAAAATGCTTCTTGCGGGGATTCAAGGATTATTAATCCCTTAATCTAGATATACATTCTGTATTGTTGCCAAAGTTTTAGAAAACATTGCTGCTATTCATTCTGACAGGTCTAAGGGAAAATTTCATACCTTTGTCACTCAAATAAAAAGTTTTTTTCCCTTTCTTCAAATATGAAGGGTAAATCTTTGTAACATCTTGTAAATGAAACATGCCAATAAGTTATGTGCAAATTCCCTGCTACCTCACTGAGAAGCAGCCATGTACATGAGTCCTTGGGAATAATATACTGGTTTCTATTCTTGCTTCCTTATCTCCCTTAGTTCTCAGTGCTGCCTTTCAGTGTTTATACATAGCAATAGATCACATACGTACTCTTCACCCTCCTGCTCTTCAGAAAGCATGAGAAGCAACTGGAAAAGAACAGAGGAAGCTATCTTACAACTCTTCCACAAGTTCCGTGGAATCAAATGGGTCTTTTCTAACTGTGACATGCTATGGGAAAGGAAGAGTAGGACCATTTGAATCCATGGAACTTATAGAGGTGTTGACTCACCAAATCCTCATTGATACAATGGGTCTACTCTAGTGCACTTTACTATGCTGAGCAACAGGTTTTTGGCCAATGAGTCAAATTTTTGGTCTACCTAGCTCAATATGATAAGCACTGACTTCCCAGTGCTCTTAAGAGTTTCAGACAAGTGTACTTCCCACCTCTAACTGGCCTTTCCAGGAACAAACCTAGCGTGTTTTGCACGGAAAACATTCTTCTATTGAGGAACTGAACTTCCATAGAAAGACAGAAATAGTCAGATCGGAAAGCATCTTACCTAACTATTCCTGTGACTAAGACCATAGCATTTCTTTCAGTGTGGTTTTGGAAGCCATTACTCACTCACTCACTCACTCACTCACTCACTCACTCGCTCGCTCGCTCGCTCGCTCACTCATTCACTCACACACTCCAGTTGAACCCCTGTATTCATGGGGAATAGGTTTCAAGCCCCCCACCCCATCCCACAATAGTAGTGAATACAGTGGTTCTTCACAATACGATGACCCCGCTAAATGACGAATCCGCATAATGATGACTTTTTGTGAACGCTATAGCGATTCGCAAAATAGTCATTCCAATGGGGGATTTTCGCTGGACATTGATTATGTCCGTGCTTTGTGAACCGTTTGTTCGCAAAACGACAATTTTTTTCAGCTTCACACAATGGCTGCCCTGTGTTTTCCGGGCCCATGCTTCGCAGGGCAGCCATTTTTACAGCTGATCGGCACTCACAAAATGGCTTCCCTATGGGCGATCTTCACTGGACGAGGAGGTATTTTATCCATTGGAATGCATTAAACTGGGTTTCAGTGCACTCCAATGGGGAAAGGGTTTTCGCATGATGATGATTTCACTAAACAGCTATTTCAATGGGACAGATTATCATCGTCATGCGTCACTGTACTGCCTTCCAAATACAAATGATGAGAGGGCAGATGGCACGGAGTGAGGCACCAAGGAATGCTTGAGCTGCTGATAACCTGTCCTGTTGGAGGAAACAAGGACTCCATTCCATCCCTTGAAACAGCCACTGTGAGGATGTGCTGCTGCTTCCTGGTTTGAACAGGCAAGATGAAGGGGTTTTCCTGCATTTTGGACTCAGTCATATAATTTTTATTTAACCACAGTAATGAAAACAGTGGATATAGGGGTCCTACTGCAATTGTCCTTTCCAATAAAATTACAGTGCTTTAGAAAAAAAACCCACATATTTTCAGGTTTAAGCAGGATGGCACAATCTCCCCCTTTTAAACACTTGACAGTGCACTACACTTTAACATATCAAACTGATTTGTAATCATAAAAGGTTGTTGTTTTTTTTAAATAAAGTTCCTGATGTAATGATACTTCAGACCCTCCAGAGATGAAGCCTGATGAAAGCCTGATAAAATCTGTGGTCACCATGCAACTAACCAAACAACCAACTAATCAACCAGCCAACCAAGGACATTGATGGGTTAATTGCAGCAACACTTACCTTCAACCAGGATATAGTGGCATTTCTGCTGGAAGAGATTGTACATGATACAGGCAGTGCTTCTCCAATCTGCTTAACAACTTCTCCATTGGGAATAAGTGACAAGTCCAAATCTATAGGGGAGAAACTCAGCATTGTCAGGGACAAGTCTCATAAATGTGGCTCCTTTAGCATGCTTATAGAAGACAAAATACTCTTGACTAATTCCAGTTAAAGCTGCATTTTCTCAAAGTCTCTTGTCAGTTTACACAACAGAACAGAAAATAATTTGCAATGGAATGTAATAAAATATTTGCATATCTAATTATTGGTTAGGAGAAAGTAAAAAATTACATTATTCTTGTGATCACTTAACAAAACAGATTCGCTGAGAAGGCAAAAATATGTGAAGTTTCAAAACAGCGGGAGGAATACAAGATATGTTTTTTGTTTAAAGGAATAGAGAGATGTTAGTTAATAGAAAACAGAACTCTAAACAACAACCTAAAACACAAGGATATTTTTGTAAAATAATCTGAAAGATAACAGCTTATTTTGAGATATGCACAGTATTTTGTTCCTACAGGATTTAGAATGATGAAAATGTAATGGGAAGCACAGAGGTACAGGAGCTTTCTCCTTCATGAGCAGCATCCTTTATGTCAAATAAGCAAATCCGTCACTATCAGTTTGGTTCCTAATTGCCACCACAATTACTGGGCCTGTGGGCCTGTTTTTAAACACTTCAGGGCAGGTGTAGACAACACATGTCTCACAGAATGTGTGTGATCCCCCATCAAATCCTTTTTGCAGTCCTAGTACAAATAGGGGGAAAGTGTTAATTTCCACAATTTTCACCTTGAGGGGTCTTCAGGAACCCCACAGGATCCCACCTCTAAAACTAGTCATTTCCTGTTGGCTTGTGCTTTTAAATGTCTGTTTCTAGGCCCATTACATGTCAGGAGGGCAGTGATATTGCCTTCAGACTCACTGAAATCACCCATCCTTGTTTTAAATTGCCACAGATGAAATTACAGTAATTCTAGTTGCACTTAAGGAACATGTTCACCTCTTAAGCCGTATGAAAGTGTTTGCCTGAATACGGTTCCAGAGTCCTGTTCAGATCCTCCAGCTCAACAGATGAATGTCTGTGACATTAATGGTGCCTTAAAGTGTTTGGGGACTGGACACAAATGTATGGCCAGGTTACCATGAGGCATTTAGCCCTCCATAAAGTCAAGCCAATGCCTGAGCAGGAATACGACTTAGTATGAATAATTTTAAAAGCTGCAGAATCAGATGAAGTGTTGTCTTTTTTTTCTTTGTGAGGACTCGCACTGCTTTGATAGTACAGCCATTTAAAAAATGTCGCACACATATGGCTAGGGAGACCAATATTTTCCAGCATTGTAAAGTCATCAGTACTGAAGCACTTAATATTACTTACACCTGTGAATGGCTTTTTAATTTATTTCTCCTGAAAATAGCAGAGTTCCATTCCTTCAATAGGAAAGTGACATCATATACATTTTTCATTTACCAAATCTATTAAGAACACTGTTATAATTAACAGAAGCATGGCATCCAGGAGAAAGGAAGTGTGTGCATATGTGCAAAAGCACAAGGCTGTATGTTGCCACAGTAACCAATATTACTTATAGCAAGTGATACCTACGCATGGCTTATAGGGGCCTAATTTCTCTACCATCAGTGGCCACAAGAACACTCTCCTTATCTACCTCTGCAGCTGCTTACCTAGCAGACCATAAGCATACACAAAGAGTCTAGCAAACAGCTGTCAAACATCATTCGGTTCCTTTCCCCCTTCCAAACATAGTTCCCCCGAAACCAAAGTCATAAATCAGGTGGCCAAAATATTTTAAGAATCAATTTCCATAACTCGGAGATATCAGGAGTAAAAATAAATAAATAAATATATAGGACTCACAAGTTAAAGCAAAGGTACAGGTATCTCTTTCAGCTCAAGGGGTCTAAGTTCGTTAAAGAGTTCTAGGGGCCACATTGCAGCGATGGGTGGGGCTGAAGGAAAAGGGCTGAGAGGAACAAAATATCAAGATAGTAGCTTTAACCTTCTTACAGCTAGTAATTTAGTCTTAGGAGAGATTCCTTGCTCCTGAATTAAACTTTAATTTCTCAAAACAAACAAACAAACAAACCAGAAACCTGACTGAATAAGGACAACAAAGAAGGGCAATAAAGAAGATAGTTTCAGCTCCCTTGGCAGGGAGTTCCAAAGCCCATACTGAGAATGCTCTGTTACTATACTTGCATTAAATATGTCTGTGGCACCCAGATGGCCAGAGAAAATTGATTTAAGCATCTTAAAAGGTGAGGCAGGCTCATAAGAAGGATTTTTTTTTTCCACCTCAGGTGGGCCAGTCTCAAATCATACAGGGCTTTATAGATCGCAATAAGTACCCTGACCTAGACCTGGAAACAGACAAACAGTCAGTTGTAAGAAATGAGTCATGCATTCCCTATCTCTGGCCCTCACCTTACTCAGTGAAGTTCACAGACAGCCCCATGCAGACTGTGTTACAGAAGTTTACTTGGGACATAACAAAGGAATGTGTTCCTGTGGTCACATCTCATGCCTTCAGGAATGAGAAACCAGATGGTTTGGCGGGGAAAATCCACATTTTTTCAAAGGAACTTTTATTATTATTTTAAGTGCCATCAGGAGGAAGATGAACCTGGCTAATTTTTTTGGGGGGGGGGAGCTCAAAAGGACAGGATCAGGAGCAATGATCAAGAACGGAGATTTTGACTCAATATTAGGAATCACTTCCTAACAGCATAAGAGTGGTGGTGGTATATTCTCCTTCACTGGAGATTTCTGTACAGAGGCTGGATGGCTACCTTTCAGGAATGCTTTAGCTATGGATTTCCTGCACTGACAGAGCACCGGATTCAATGGTTTCAATGGCCCTTTCAGCTGTACATTTCTGTTATTTTATTAATTCAATAATTGTTGAACACAAAACAAACATGCCTACAGTTGCTGATTGGTGGGCCCACAGGCAGAATGGGAAAGCCATAGGAAGAGAGGGAAGGCTAGCCTTCCCTCTCTTCCTATGGGGGACAAATACATCTGGAGAAATATTCATCCCTTCATATTCATCAGGGTCTCTGGAACTGATGCATATGAAGGGACGAATATTCAATGAATCAGCGATTTCTCACGAATATCGTGATTAGTTTTTTTATTTGTCCCCATGTCTAATCACAATCATGGGCCAAAATGGATCTGCTTGGATCTCCACTCCTGGGAAAACTGGCAACTGTCTTGGATGTTTTCCACTTGTGAATAATCTTCATCAATGCAAAATGATGGGCTTTAACTGCTTGGAAATGACCTTCTAAGATTGATGGGAAGAAACAATTGCTTCTCTACGATAACTGTTGATGTGTTTCCTCCTTGGTACTATATTTACACACACCAGCATGTTCTAGATATGCAAACTGCTAAAACCTCAGCAGCAAGTAGTCACACTTGCTGATGATAAATTACTCAAGGGCATTTGGTTAGCAGCACCAGGCTGCAACTTAGCGTCAGTTCCTATGGAAGCAGTAAGGGTGTAAATAGTTTTTCACACATGGATCCTCCATTTTGGCTTTACAGTGGTGCCCAACTTATGAACTTAATTGGTTTAGGAAGATCATCGTACATTGATTGATTGAAGACTCAGTGTAGACATTGGCACCGAAACAATCCATGGCCTCTGTCTGATCACCTAATCAGAATACAAGCATAAGATTGACTGTGAGTCAAGCCACAGTAAAGCCAAGTTGCTGTGATTTAGCTTGCCACTGTTGTCACAACCTGAACAATATCCATTGAAAGCAATGGGACTTAAGCTAGTTGTGACTGCCAAACCCTATTCATTTCAGGGAGTCTGCTCTGGGTTGGACTAAAGTAGGACTTACTCTTACTTCCACATCGGTCCAAGCTCCAACACACTGAGATAGTTTACGGAAGCAGCAACATTTCCTATTACCATAGTCCAGCATCAGCAGCACATAATCACGAAAGAAACATTCATAAATCAAGACAAATTTATGTTCCGGAGGCTATGGTAGGGGTCCCAAACATTGTGGGGATCATGGGAGACAATGCAGCCTTTCAGGATCCAGGGGCTGGACCCACAAGCCCCGGTTTCTAGAAACGGTTCCGCCATAACCAAGTGGGTGGAGTCTGTGATGCAGCCAGATAATTTCAGATCCTGGACTTAATGTCCCTTGGGTGTTTAAATGGTTTTAAAAATAATACACTTGTTTTATTTCAGTTGTACAGCACACAACTAAAATTCCTTTTCGCTTCCTCATTCTGAGCTTTACTGTTGGTGCATTCCTAATATCTTAAGGAGATGCAGAGGGGATCTGTTTGCTAAGCCTAATTTAAACACAAAGAAAGAAAAAAGAGCAATTAGTCTGGAACAATCTCCCTCCAGAGATTTGTGCACATCCCTCACTGGGTATCTTTAAAAACCAACTAAAAACCTGGATGTTCAGGCAGGCCTTCCCCTCCAGTTAATATCTGTCTCTTTTCTTTTTTCTTGTGGTCTATCTTTCATTTTTCTTTTTCTTTTTTCCCCTTTTTCCCCATCTTGAAGTTTTATATATTTAATGTAATAATTCCTTTGTTGTTGTTGTTGTTGTTGTTGTTGTTGTTGTTGTTGTTGTTGTTGTTGTTGTTGTTGTTGTTGTTGTTGTTGTTGTTGTTGTTGTTGTTGTTTTATCATAGTACTATGACTCTATAAGCCGCCTAGAGTGGTCACAACGTCCAGATAGGTGGGATACAAATACAATAAATAAATAAATTAAAGAAATAAATATGTAAAACCACAGAATTCAAAGAGAGTGTATTTTCTTTTCCACATGACTCTATATCTACATACATTTCCCTTACTATTTACAAACTAATCCAGATGAAATTCTGGTCCTCTTTCTCAAAACGATTATTACCGGACTGAGAAAAGACAGCAAAAAATGATCCTGGGTTTGTATAAGGAAAAGCAAAGGCATTTGGATTTTTTAGGGAAAAGAAGGGAAAACATGACAAGGCACGAGTGAGAAACAGAGGTTAATCCATCTGCCACAGTTCCTAATCATTGACCACACTAGGTAAAGTGGATGGGAGCTGCAGTCCAATAAGATCCACAGAGCCACCCTTTTCCTCACCCTAGTAACAATGCAGAATTCACAGAATTATGAATGGGGTGAGGAAATAAATACTCTAACTGGTTAACCCAAGGAAATTTATTTTAGAGAAAAAGTTCTGCTGGCCGGATAGCTCAGTGATTTAGGTGTTTGGCTATGGAGCCAGAGGTTCGGAGTTCAATTCACCACTGTGCTTCCTGCGAGTACAGCCAGCCTGTGTGGCCTTGATCAAGTTGCACAGTCCCAGGACAACTCCAGAAGAAGAGAATGGCAACCCACTCCTGAGTATTATCTACCCCCCCCAAAAAAAAACCTGAAAAAGGTCTCCATAAATCAGAATTGCCTTGAGGGCACATGATTTTTTGAAGTTGACCCTTCCTTCTTCTTCTTGTCTATCACGAAAATAAAAAAATTTGGCTGACTAAATATTTCTACACTCACAAAACCAAAAATGTGCGCACACATGCAAAACATGCTCCTTGCCTAGTTCTCAAACAACCCTGTTTTGGGAAAGGCAATGACAGTGGAAAACATTCTTGGAAGACTCCTGGCTATGGGGATATTGTGTGCAATTGATAAGAAGCTACACAGACCTCTCTTATCAGGACAAAAAGCTTCTTGACACCTGCTAGTTCCTTCTCAAGATAAAATAAGGGAAGAGGAGGAGAGCAAAAGGAAGTACTGTAGAGCACATGGTGAAGATTGGGTCCAAGTCCAAATTCAAGTCAGACCAAGCTCGAAGGAAGCTTTTCAATGCCTCACACAGAAGCTATTTTATTTGAGAGCTGTGAGTTTGAACTCCCTGCTCTCAAATAAAACACTTATTCCAGGCAGGTCTGCAACTGATTCATGAAAGTTAAAGAATCCCCCCCCCCAATACTATGTACAGTGGTGCCTCGCACAACGATTGCTTCATACAACAATGAATTCACACAGCGATGGGCTTTTTTGAGGAATTTCCCCCATCGTTTAACGATGTTCTCTATGGGGGAATTTCACTTAATGATGTCCCTTTTTGCTCATTTAAAAGTGTCTTAAAATGTTTGAAACCTGTTTTAAATGCTTGGATTCCATAGTGCACCTTGTGAAACATGTGCAAACTTAATTTGGTTTTGTTCTGAGTCTTCATTAATTTTTGGTGTTTTTTTTATTTTCCCCATTTAAATCAACTGAATGGACAGTTCAATGCATTTAAATAGGGAAAACAAAAAAATCACCAAAAATTAAGGACGACTCAGAACAACACCAAATTAAGTTTGCATAGGGTTCAGGAGGTGGGCTAACGATTGCAAGCATTTAAAACCTGTTCCAAACACTGTAAGGCACTTTTACAGGAGCGAAAAAGGACTTCGCAAAGCCATTGAAATGTATTGAGTCGGCTTCAATACATTCCAATGGAGGAAACATTGTTTCACTCAACGATGTTTCCTATGGGTTTTTTCACTTAAAGACGGCAATCTGTTCCAATTGGAATGGATTAACCGGTTTTCAATTCATTCCTATGGGAAATGGTGTTTCACAGAACGATGTTTCACACAACGTTGATTTTTTTTGGAACCAATTAACATCGTTGTGTGAGGCACCACTGTATAATTCATTTCTGCAGCTGGCTGTTGTGAGATAATACACATATCATTTTAAAAGGTTATTTGACAAACTCAACAATAATAGTAATGACATGTATGTAATAGCAGTATTCCCCAATCAATATCCTCCTGATTTGGGGAGTACAAAATACTATTCCCAGCCAGCTTTGGGGAGATGAAGTGTATTAGGTTCATCCTCTGAGGGATGAGATCTCTATAAGGTCACATCAGCTTCTATAAGTTTAGGAGTAGTGAAGAGGATATCAGAGAAAGCCTTCTTATCCTTGTGAACTTCCTGAAAGCTTACTGGACAACTCTTGAGAACTGAAAATAGGATGCTGGACTCCACAGATTCTTGCTACAGCAGAATTCTCATGTTATTAGGTATAGTGTTCTGATTAGTATTAATTTTGTGATAATTTACCACTTTTCAAAGTATATCACAAGCAATTTTTGCAAAGAGTAGACCTTTGGTCTAGATAGGCAGGACAGAAATCAAATCAAATCAAATCAATAAATCAATAAATCAATAAATCGATAAATCAATGAATCAATGAATCAATACATACATACATACATACATACATACATACATACATACATACATACATACATACATACATACATACATACATACATACATACATACATACATACATACATACATACATACATGGAAGAAACAGCGCTTTTCTACAGACAAGTTGCTGTACTCAGAACTGGGAGTTACCCACGTTCCAAAATGGAATCAAACTGATATTTAGGCATTTATCTCATAATACTAGTCTGATATGATATCAACATTAATTAGTGTTTGAAATCCTGTTGTTTAGCATAGTAAGTCACAACTAGACTAGGCCCACCAAATTGGTGGGGATTTGGTGACTTGGCTTTTCTGTAAGCTACATTGATTGAAAGTGGCAACCCAAGTAGGCCTATTCGGATCAATGGAACATGCAGAGGAGTGGATTCACCAAATCCCTACTGATTCAGTGGGCCTTTCTAGTGTGACATATTATGCTAAGTAACAGGATTTCAGCTGTTATATCACATATTCACCTACTACGGGACTGTACTGTTCAAATTACTTCAAATTTCTGTATATTGATTTCAGATAGAAAGAAAAGATTCCAGGTGCCTTGGTTTATTTGCAGTACTTGTATCTTCAAACACCTCAAAGAAAGGTTGCTGTCCTCTGAAGATGCCGGCCACAGAGACTGGGGAAATGTTAGGAAGAACAACCTTCAGACATGGCCAAAGAGCCCGAAAAACCCAGAACAACCTCAAAGAATGTATTGAATAAAAAGATGTTTTTTCTATAAAGCGGTCAGTTCCATTTTTCTTGACACTCTTTGACCAGTCACTTCATCTTGCGTTTTCTCCCTAGTCACATTTTTTCATAACTAAGAGTCCTTGGATGTAAGAAATACTCTTTCAACTGAATTTTAATGTCAGATAAAAAAACTGTGATGTTTAATTGATCAGTCAAATTTGTACATTAAAATATGTTAACTGAGTGCAATCTTACAAAGCAATATTTTAAAAAGTATAAAAATATAACTTCTAATTTTTTACAATTCCAGCAAATTTCTAAACACAACAGAGAAAATACTACATTTTAACTGTTGAGTATTAGGTTTTCCTGTGTTTGTTTATTAAGTTAGCAGATTTTTAAAAGAACAAGATATATAAATTACAATTTCTAAACTCTTGCATGAAACATGTATAGCCATTAATCAAATAAAATCAAAACAAAAAAGAGTGGGGGAATTAAAGGACTGTATCAAACATGCATAGAATTGCAAATGACCACAACAAGTCACACCCTTAAGTTTTTGAAAACCTAAGGCAGTGCATACTGGGTTTCTTTGCTTTGGCTCTCATAGGCAGATCCAAATTTGATTTTACTCAATGGCAAGGAGCACACTAAGAAACTTCAGCTGTTATAAAACAACATACTTTAAAAAATAGAAGTAAAACAAAATCACTTACAATGCACTGTAATTATAATGGAGTCCATCAGACTTTCATCAATCAATGAACATCTGTATTCTCCTGATGCATTTCTTCTTACATCTATTAATGCATACAGACTTGAAGTTCTTACAGGTTCTGGTTCTCCCTTATAAAGAAAGAAACAGAGAAATTCACCGCTATAGAAAAACTGTCCTTCTTTCAGTATGTATTTTGCAAAGCAGATATAATATTACTAGGATGTGGCGGCCTCACTCCTCAACTGAGTAACAGTATAAATGGAACTGAATTTTACTGACTGCATTTTCTATTTGATGAATAGTGGAATTACTAATCAACAACCCACAGCTCCACTTTTGAGAACGTTCTTCTGCCAGAATTTCACCTGTATCTTTAGCAATTGCTTATTTCAATATGTGGTTTTCCACATCTAGATACACTAGATATACTGCTAAATTTTATGGCATATAATTGTAAATTGCATGGTGCCACAGGATGAGTATTGTATAGCTGTGCAATTCAAGGTTCCCCTTGACATTTTTAGTCCAGTCGTGTCCGACTCTAGGGGGTGGTGCTTATCTCATTTTTCAAGCCGTAGAGCCAGCGCTTGTCCGAAGACAGTTTCCGTTGTCACGTGGCCAGCGTGACTAGGGAGCGCCGTTTTACCTTCCCACCGAGGTGGCACCTATTTATCTACTCGTGTTTGCATGCTTTCGAACTGCTAGGTTGGCGAGGAGCTGGGACAAAGTGACGGGAGCTCACTTCGTCACGTGGATTCGATCTTACAACTACTGGTCTTCTGACCCTGTAGCACAGGCTTCCGCGGTTTAGCCCACAGTGCCACCACGTCCTGTTGGTGCAATTCAAGGAACTGGTGAAAATGAATAGCTTCCTCCTAGGGGAAGAGCCAGTCTGTGTAGGTGGTCAAGCTATACAGTTCCAGAGTGCCCATAGAATAAGGAATGGTAAACATTTCTATCCATTCTCTACCTAGAAATCTCTAGAAAGGATTGCCATGTCAGAATTGATTTGGCAGCATGTATTTATTATATTTAGATGAAAGCCCCCCCCCCAAAAAAAATTGATGGAAAGAGAGCTGTTTGTTGAAAGTGGACAAAGCTACATCAGCAATTTCAGTACATCACAGTTTCTTCCAGTTCTTAAAAATTATTATTCTTTTAGAAAACAGCAAGCAAGGAAGTTAACACATCTAAGCTTACACTGATTAACCAGAAAAATGGTATCATGGCAGGAAAGTTAAAAGTGATCAGACCATGGAAAAGTTACTTTTTTTTCAACAATTCATGAGGAGGGTACTGGGAGAGTAGCCCAAACAAGCTTAGGCTTGTTTCCTTGGCTATTAAACAGACACATACTTCAGAGATTTGGATATTATTCATACGTTTCGTAGGCAATCCTGAACTATATCTCCCACCCTTATCCCAAAGCAACTTTCACAAAAAGATAATACTTACGGGAATATAAAACAAAAACTCCTGAGGTGGAGGGTTTCCATTTCCTGAACATTTTAGGGTGATGTTATCACCTTCTTTAATGGTATTTTTTTGTGAAATTACCTCTATTTTAACCCTTTCTGTGGGATCTGTAAAAACAAATGTACCAGTTAAAGTGTCACCTAACCAAATACTTAAGAAAGATTGGTGGCGTTTGAGTCTGCTAGTCTCCATCTGGATCAATAATTACATATATAGAAAAATGTAGACGTCAGCAGCTGCTGGATTCCCTGATCTAGTTCCAAGTAGTGGTGTAACAGTAAATTTAGAAATGGCAGTCTCCACAGCCATCCCCCTCATGGCAGTCCAAAAATGCTGCATTACTCCATATCAACAAACAAGGAACAGTTAGTGTCTCTTAACTGCCAATTCTAGACCCAACGACTCTTGAATACTTTGTATTGGACCACAGGTGAGTTCTAACAGTGATTTGTTCCTTGGAAAATCCACTTGTTTCACAGCTGCTGTGAGGGCTGCAGCTAAGCTCATTTGTGCAGGATTCATCCTGCTCATATTTATTTAGTAACATTGAGTACAGTGCCTTTTTCCTGATGAAGGTGTTCAGGCAGCTCATAATGTTAAAACAAGCAGAATTAAAAGAAAATAAATTGTGTTTATGAATGTTTTAATGCACTGACATTAAAACATTCAATCTGGAAAATTCAATCTGAGAAGATGGGACTTAATTCAGATCTTTTGTCCACTTGAAAACAGGTGAATGGCACAATCACTATTACTGGATAATACCAGTAATTTTTCCAGCAACTGCCCATATGTAGAACTTCAAACAGCTGCAATCTGTCACATGCAAAGATCTTTAGAGTGTAAGTCTTAAATATGTGGAATGAAAGACAAAGTCAATAAAGGGAGCATATTGAATTACCCCTAGTCATCCAATTCTGTCGAAACAGAATATCCTTCTATCTTCCTCTGTTTAGAGTTGACCTTCTGAACACATACTTTACAGAGGTGTACAGAAAGTACTGAGCATGCCCAAATGTATGCTCTCAGTAATTTAAGCAAGAGGTAAAGGTTGCATTGTTTAAACAGGGCTATTATTAGACATTTACTAATTGCTAGAAAAGAATTGACTCAAATACTTCTCTTCATATTTATTTGGATATCTGCTTTACAGGAATTTCCTTTAAAGTAAGATACTTGGAAACACAATTCCACTCCTCCATTTATTTAATTTACATCCTATTTCTTTCTCTTTTTCTCAGGACCCAAAGCAGCTCATCATGTGAATTTCAAAAGAATGACCAGACATGATGAAAAACACGTAACTTTACAATATCAAAATAATACTGAATGACTTATGGCATGGAGTCAGGATTAACAGAATTTGTTGACAGAAGTACATTGGGAAAAGATTCAACCCAGCTTCCCTTGGATGCAAATTCCACGGCATGGGAATACCCAACAAAAAGGTCCTTTCTTATATCCTAAATCGCCTTTTGAGGGTAGAAGGAGAGACCGAGAAGTGTCTTGTGATAATCTTATGTCCTGGATTGGCTCGTAGAAGAAGATACTTCCTTCAGATAGACTGGACTCAAGTTGTAGTGGGCTTTGCATGTTGTTTGTAAGCACTTTGAGTTGTGTCCAAGAACAGTCCAGTACAAAATAAAGCTGTTGTAGTGAAGAATTTCTATTCTCAGTATAACTGGCTGCAGTCAATATTCTGAACACAAAATTTTGGATCCTTTGCACTTTTCAAAGAGTCATTACAATAAACTAACAGGAATATAACTAAGGTATCTGTCAACTCAGTATGTGTCAACCCAGAAGTAACTGCCCTTGAATTCAGTGGAGTTTAATTATTAGACAATGAGAATACATTGCAGTCATAGCATCAAGTAAACTTCAACATAGGATGCAGTGTACTATGCATAGTTTTGTGAGTCTTAGGGCCTTCCTTGAGTGGTTTGTCTTAAAGTAGAATTGTAGCTTAGGCGTAGCCATGCACAAAATTTAGTCATTACTTAATCTACTTTATTATTCCTGATTAGAACATAAATGGAAAAATATAAAAATAGATTTGTAGCTGAATACATATGAAAACAACAACAGCAACTGATTTCATTAAATGAGATAATTCAACTGTATTCCATAAGATTTGTTATCTGACCATCAAATTTATATCATATGCCTGATACTGTACTTTATCTTATGAAAGAAATATATAATAATTCATATGTCTTCCACAAAGTAAAATGAAATATAGCATAAAGCAACTCCTTCATGAGGCATTTCTGTATATTGATTATAAAAATAGCACTGATAAAGATAAATTTCATGGGCTAAAGAACACCCGTTATACAGTTGACCAAGCTGTAATTATGATATGTTTCTACCATGCTGAAGTATAAAGTATATTCTACTTCAGGTGTTTCTTAAAAAGTAAGATAAAGGACCCTGTTTAAAGCAAATTATTTCTTTTCTAATCAGTAATTGTTCTAAAGATAAATAAAACAGTTTCATGAAAGGAATATACTTTAATTCTTCCAATAATGTAAATTTTGTGTGACAGATAGTACTTTACAAAAAGATCAGGCAGCAAGCCTAGCCTTAGAGAATTCATATAGATAAAAAAGAATGGTGAAATGAATCAAGGGAAAAACAATTTTAATTCACCTGACATGAAAAATAAAGTTAACTGCATGTCTTAAAAAGCTTGCCATCCTAGAAAGATCAGGAGGATGTTATACTAGAGATGCATCTCCTCTTAAACTTAAGTGATTTAAAATTCTGCCAGCACTTCAGTAGTTTAAAACTCTTCTTTCTTTCTCTCTCCCCCTCAATTACAAACAGATTGTTCCTACATCATCTCATGTAGAACAGATTACTGCAGATTTCTCCTTCTTAGGACTGTCCTCTGGCATTTCTCTCCTATTCTAAAGGTCTCTGATAGACAAAATGTTATCAGGTGTTACTAAGACTGCACAAAGACAATATGCACAAAAGCAACAAGATATATTTTTTAACTTAATGCCACTGCACATCCAGCTAGGAGCCAGCTTGAAAACTGAACAATTGTGTTACAAGTTTGTGTGAAAATGCTGCAGGGTGTGAAATGTTTGTTCATTTTAGCCAAAATCTCATCAAATCACACATTTTTGGTATCACCTGGAAGGACAAAGTTCCAAATAGAGTAGTCCTAGAAGGACCTGGAATTTTTAGCATGTATACGTTTCTGAAACAGCAATGTTGGCTTGGGCATGTCATGAGAACGGCTGATGATCGGATTCCAAAAGGTCTCCTGTATGGAGAATTAGTGCAGGGAAAGTGCTCCAGAGGGAGACCACAGCTGCGATACAAGGATATCTGCAAGCGGGATCTGAAGGCCTTAGGAATGGCCCTCAACAGATGGGAAACCTTGACATATGAGCGTTCAGCCTGGAGACAAGCGATGCATCACGGCCTCTCCCACTTTGAAGAGACCCTTGTCCAGCAGGCCGAGGCAAAGAGGCAGTCCCGAAAGCAGCAAAATCAGGGAGCTGGACAGGGGACAGATTGTATTTTTCCTCAGTGTAGAAGGGATTGTCACTCTCAAATTGGTCTTCTCAGCTACACTAGACACGGTTCCAAGTCCTCCATACAAAGGAATAACCCTGCAGTAACTTGCCCACCCAAGCATAGAGGAAACTGATAAGGATGCATATCCATAGCTGAAAGGGGGAAACTATTCTTTCATTACTGCTGGATAGCTCAGTGGTTTAGGTATCTCACAGTGGAGCCAGAAGTTGGGAGTTTGAGTCACCACTGTCTTTCCTTGATAAGGACAGGACTCAGTGATCCATATGGCCCCTTTCAGATTTGCATTTCTAAGATGATGATGAAGAATCTAAAATCAGTTCAAAAACTGCTTTGACATGAAGTGAGTAGGTTTAATTCATCATCAGGGACTACCTAATAGTTGCTTTTAATAGTCACACCACATTGTTGATTGCTTTTGGTGCTGCTGCTGATAGTTACTTTAGATTTTTGCCAAGTACTGGCTGGAGTGCCACAGAGACTTGCCAAACCAATTTGAACAGTTACTACAGCAGGATAGAATAAATAGAAGCAAACTGCCAATTAAGGTTAATTTTTCTCGTGTCCATTTGGGTTGTTTATTTCTTATTTTGAAGACTACATGAGAGCTTTTGCTGTAATCAAACAATTATAACCCTTGTTTCTAAAAAAAAATAAAGCAAAATATATAACAAAATCTTTTGGAAAATTGTGATCTCATTGGAAAATACATTTTCATCAATAGTTGCTTCATAGAGATTAAGCATCAAGTATCACAGGTCCCCAAACAAGAAGAGTAAGTACCGGATTCCTCAAAATATGGTGGACATGCTGGCCTCAGCAACAGGTTATTGCTTTTTGACTGTTTGGAAAAGGAATTTTTTGTGGCAACAGATATATAAGCAACAACTGAGTAACATTCATTGATTTGTTCTCATGAAGGTCCTAGTCTGCTTTTCCCTGTATGATCACAATGGTTACAATCCTTTTGCTTAACGAATAAGAGTAGGCCCATTGAATCAATGTGGATTTGTTAACTTCTTCATAAATTCTATTGATTCAATGAGCCTATTCAAGTTGTGAGTTACTATGCAAAACAACAGGATTTCAGTGAATAATTGATGGTGCTTAAACATACTTATATAGCCCTATGCGGCTGCTATCAAAGCCTGTGAAACCTACACATTTTGAGAGGAGTGCAGTAGACCAACCTCCTTTTGTCATTACTTTCAACATGTAAAAATGACAATATGAAGAGTGGGAGGCTACTCTAATTAGGATAACATCTCCTTATGATCCTGAATAGAGAGCAGCCTCTTCCTGCAGACTATAACTTTCACATGCTCAAAGCGATGACCATGGGGGGCGGGGGCAAGGCCAATGCAGGGAAGCTTCATGTGCTCACATTACATCTGATAAAGATGCATATTTCCCCTTTGTTTGAGTTCATTAATAATTCTGCTTTATACATTCCAATCTACATTCTCATACTTTAAATCCTGCACCTTAAGCACATCGACAAATCACATCCTTCCCTCTTCTGTCTTCTCCAAACACTCATATTGCAGATATCCTCATACTCACATTGAAGAGATCCAGATCTTTTTCTTGTTCATCCAGCAAAAACTGCAAACCTGTATCTCAGGAGGTAGAATTAGCATTGTAATGTTCTAGAGACAGTGATTTATGAACTTACAGTGAATGTCAAAGACCACAGGTTCTGATCGTATAGTTTCTTGTCCAGTTGGCCCAAAATATGTCACTGTACAAGTGAACTGCACATCAGTATCATCCTTTGTTGCTTTATATTCTAGAGAAGATACCAAAGTGTAGAGTCCACTTGCTTTATCCACATTTGTTTGTTCATATATGATTACAGCTTTCAGAAAAAAAAGAAAAGAAAAGGTTTTCAATGTTATCTACAGTCACACATTATATATACTATTTAGCATGCAAAAATGATATTTGAAAATATATGACATGAAATTCTCACATTCTTTAAAGATAATGAAGCAACTGTTGACTAAAGCCCAAGATTTCCATTCAAAAGATAGATAAGTATGCATATTATATGTGCACAGCCTCATTCTAAATCTTTACAGTTGGCTAGCTGCTATGCACTATAGCCAAATTAGAAATTAGCTACGTTCAAATATAATGCAAAGGCAAGATGTGTTTTAACCATAGTTTGAGATAGGCGGGGTATAAATACAAAAAATAAATAAATAAATACAATAAATAAATAAATCAGTGTCAGTCTTGTACATGAGCCAAGAAATCACTGTCTGACTTTGTCCATTCTGATAATCTCCATATGGTAGGTCAAACATCCTAGCAGAAGTACTGACTTCTTCTGCCTTTTAGTTGACCTTTTTTTAAAATAGAGATGGGTGAAAATTTTGTTTGGTAAGAGCTTCCAAAAATCTGTTATTTCATGAAAAAGATGCAAAGAACTCTGCATATTTTTTAAAAAGGCTCTTGGAAAAAGTAAAACTAAATACTTGGCTTTGAATTATTGCATGTTCCATTATATTTATGATGCTGAAATATAAAATCTAATCAAAATTTACAAATTTGTTTCTAAGCAAAACAGAAGGATCTTGAAAATTAAAAAAAGGAAATGTGGGAGAAAGTGAAACTTGACAGACTCACCATTCTTGATTGATTGATTGACTGATTGATTGATTGATTGATTGATTGTTTCTTTGTATTTGCTTTTTTTGTTTATTACAAATGATGTGCATATTATGCTGAAGTTAAGGGGGCAAAAAAGTTTTGCTTTGCCAATATTATTTCATCTTCCACCTGCCACCCAGCAGAATTAAGCTGTGGGGAGCCACAGGGTTCGATGTTCCCATGCTGTTTAATATCTATATGACGCTGCTGGGGGAAGTCATTAGGACTTTTGGAGTTGGGTGGCAACAATATTCTGACATCACTCAGCTCTACTTCACCTTATCATTAGGGTTGATTGAGGCTGTGCTGGTGCTGGACGAATGTATAGAGGCTGTAATGGGCTATATGAGGAATAAACTGAAGCTGAATCCTGATAAGTTGGGGGCTCTGTTCATTGGTGGTTCCTAGGTCTGGGAGTAGATGAAGCACTCCCGCTGAAGGAGCAAATGTATAATTTGAGGGTATTCCTAGATTTAGGAGGGTATTCCTAGATTTTTTTAATTGGATGTGCACGTGAGCTTAGTGGCTAGAAGCACCTTGGGGCAGTTTTGACTGGTCTGCTAGGTAGGCAGGGATAAAATCATGCTCAGGTAACCTCCCAGTTAGACTGCTAGAGTGCAATCTATGTGAAGCTACCATTGAAGATGAATGGATGCTTCAGCAAGTGCAGTATGCAGCAGCTAAACTGCTAACAGGAACAACCACACTGTTATGTGGAGACATGCAAGAAGGCTTGTCCTGCCTAGCACCCAACTGTGGAATGCCTCCCTTGGAGGCTTAAAAGGCACTGGTCATATGTTGTGTTTCTGAATGAGTTTAGAGCATGTGGATTTAGGTATGTATGTGGGTTGTTGGATTTTTTGGGGAATGTGTGTTCTGCATGTTTAATTTTTTCTCAGCACGACTAGGTTCCCATATTTAAAAAAAATGGGTCATTTCTTGTACATGGATAATCTAAATAGCAGCAATATCTCATCCTGGCATAGTGGGATGGGTAACCAACATTAACTGCTTGGTTATAGACCACTGGTACGTGTGTTATGTACAGATCAGGTTACAGTAATATTTGTTAATGTTGTCTAGACTCTTTTTCTAAAGAAACTCTTTCATATGTATTCTCTTTACGATGACACAACTGCAAGATACAACCAATAATTTTATAGCAATGTTTGTTCAGAAGATTTAGGCATCCATATTATGAATGCTCCAAATAAGGAACAAACAATAATTCTACTTTATTACCAGATAGCAATCTCTGATATCAATATGTGTAACAGCAGAATAAATGTTCAGTTGTAAAACTTACTTCCATCAACAGGTTGCATAACAACTCCATTCTTGAACCATATTAGGCTTCCTTGTGGATAACCGTCTTTTGCGACACACTGCCCAAGCTAAAGAAGTCAAAAACATGGTAATATTTGAAGAGATATGATTAGATTTCTATTACAAAAAATAACAGAGTCCTTGGTACATTAAAGGCTGTTTGGCATACCCTTTTATCCCCACTTTCTGATATATGGAGTACTGGCTCACCAGACAGACATTTTTATGCAACACAGGGAGGAGGGGAGTGTGAAATGTGAGATAAATACAAAAGGATCAGCACGGGGATGCTCCCAACACAGATTTTTCCCCCTTGTAGATTTTTTAAATGCATAAATTGAACCATAAACTGGAGGACCGCTAAGCCTTTTTTATCTGCATTCAGGAGGTAAGCTTGCAAAGGTCTGATTCCCTCTAACAGAGAACTCAGTTTGGAAAAAGAAAAAGGTCTGCCAAAATGAAAATAACAATTTTACATATATGGATGGTTTGGGAAGGCTAGGCTTGCAGGAATTTATAAAATGAATAGAAAGTTGATTTAGAATGTTCAGAACTTAGTGAATATCAATGGCAGTTCAGTCTACAAAGAAAAGAACTACAAGTGTAATTCGGAGGTGATGTGCCTTGCACATTAGCCCACCACAGTGGCATCTGAAAAAAAAAATTGGCTGCAGTCCATGAAAACGTATGCCAAATAAAGCTTGCAGGTCTTTAAGGTGCTACAAAATTGTTTGGTGTTTCTGAGCAGCAAATAGAAAAAATTATAGCACGTGATCCATTCACAAAAGCAAAGCTTTGGATCCTTCTCATCCAGCAAAATTGGAGGTTAAGGCAAACAGTCCATAGATTGGGCCAGATGTGATGTCCGTTGCTCTTCAAAACAGGTTACCAGCAGGCAGGTTTTCATTTTAGATTCTCTATGAGATACAAGTGTCAAGGAACTGCTGGTTAGAGTCTCTGCCTGCAGAGACAGAGGTTGGGAGTTTGATTCCCCACTGTGCCTCCTTGACAGAGGCTAGACTTGAAGATCCATAGGGTCCCTTTCAGTTCTGCAGTTCTAAGATGATGATGAGTCTGTTTGGAAATCAGTGTTCTGGGGTAAATTTTACTGCCACAAGAAGATGCTTTTTCCATGAGACTGTAACTTAATGAGGATTTCATGTTTTCCAACCACTAGATATAGCCGTAGCTGATTTTTTCACTCTAGTGTGATGCCCATGTTAAATTTCCTCTTAAAGAGGCCTGTGCACATCATCTAAAGCAACAGACTGATCTACATGGCCCTAGCCAGACTTTTGTCTGCAGAGCCAGGAGAGACTGTCAAGTGATACAATCAACACCTCTGCCTGTGAAATTTGGACACTCCAATGTCCTTTGCTGGCAGCATGGTCTCAAGAACAACTGCTATCACATTTTCAGACTCTTTGAATGAAAAGTTCTGGGGAGCTCCAACGCTCATCTTGTTTGTAAAATCTTAGAAACCCAATAAAGTTCTTACCCACTGTCTAGAGACAGAAGTTCCAAGTTCACACGGAAAGTCAAATACACAAACTCCTGCTTTTGCTGCTGTGTTTGGATGGGGAAATAATATGCCGCTTTCCAGTCATAACAATGCTGAAAACTTGGATGCCTCTGTTATTTTGTGTAGGCCAGTTCTAATTTCTCCCCAAACAACAGGGGAGAAAAAGGGAGATGGGGATGGGAGCACAAGGACTAGCTCTTAACTGGATAGCAGATTACTTTTTAAAAATCCCACAAGGTAAAGATTTGGAATTTAAAATATGTGTGCCATTTTACTAAAAATGCTCTTCTCCGTGCACTGTAAAGGAAATTCTCAAGAGAAAAAAAGGCAGAAAAATGTCTTGAAGGTGTGAGGAAAAAGGTGTCATTTCTCCTTTTTCACTCTCATATTCCGCAAATCCTTAATCTGTTTGAGCCTCTGAACAGAAGCACCTAATCAAACTCTTTTTAAATCTATTATTGAACAGTTCAAGTCTCCTGCAACAGTAAAGTTCACTGCTAAGTTATTCATTATTTGATCGTAAAGATGTCAATGGAAGGAACACACACAATCTTCACTTCTGGGAGTGGAGTGCCTGGAGGTTCTTGATAGTCTTGGTGCAATTCAAACAAAAGAAGGTATCCAGTAAAAAAAAAAATTACAGAGTAAATATGCAAAGGAGATACACCCAGTAATGCAGATATAAAACCATAAATGCATATCTGCATTACACCCATAAACGTTTTGCATCTGAACACTATTGAATAGTCATGAGCTGAATTAAACCACTGTAAGGATCATTGCAGCATAAAGCTGGGAACACTTTTGTCTCAAACACTGATGAGTGAGTACCATTCATTGTGAAAAAACCTGAGCTTATGGCTTCTTCACTTCTTTTTTGGGGCCGCTTGATCTAATAGATGTGACAGCTGTAACTACCATTACAAATGTATCTAGAAGAGGGAGGTTAGACAGGTCTACTAATTATTTTGCACACACTTCATCCTCTGTGCAACTGTCTACTATTTCCTTTATTTTCCTTCCTGTTTTTGACTTACCTTATTATTTGATTGATATCCTGACCTTCTTTACAGAAGCACAGACTAACAATCTACCTCAAAGTCAACACTTGAAACTCATAGATTACAAATATCTGAAGTAAATACAATAAAAGAACCAACAACAAAAAAGAGAGAGGAACATGAAAAGTGGAACAGTTCCTTTTAACCCAAAAGATTGTATAAACGAATATGCTTTCATCCTGAAATGTAAACGAATTGGAGAGAACCACATCTCTACTGAAAGGGAGTGGCTCTGATGTAGGGAAGCCTCATTTAGAAACAGTGAAACCAAAGCAGCTCACTTTAAAGGAGGTTAACAGAAGAATCTTCACTTACCATTTTTATCTGCTCTGTTTCTAGAAACTCTGCTCGACTTACTATTTCAGGTTGTGATGGTTGCTCTGTATTTTAAACAAAAATATTACTAATTAGGTTGTTAAGATTTCGGCTATGTTCCTACCTACTGGAGGGTGAGGGCATGAATTTTTATGACATAATCCTAGTGGGTTTTCAACACAGAAATAATACTGATTCAAGAAAGCAGTGCAAAAATACACACACACAAATGTTCTTAATGTATACTGCTCTACTTCAATCTTTTCTTTAATTCCCTTACACTCAGCGTATATGCCCCTGTAAATCTGGTGAGATCAAAACCCTCTCCCATGTGTTACTTCATTATGCTTTCTATTCTGGCATTCGAGAGGTTCTCATTAACCCTTACATAAGGGCATTTCCTGGATGATCGGAGGTGCATTATATACTGCTCCTACTGACAGGGTGATGCCCTGGCAGATATACTGGGCTAAACCAAAATTCAGATATGCTGACAAAAGTAGCTAAATTCTATGGTGCTGCAATCAAAATCCGAGAAGGAAAGGTTCCGCCCAAAGCACAGCTATAGTATCTGTAAATACACGTAGAGGCCATAATTGATCATACGGGCTCTATGGGCTTCTTAGTAACAATTTTGTTATTCTATGCAAGCTACAATGGCCCATAGACAAGGCCCTATAAATAAGGAGGCAGGAGATATCTAAAAAGATGTATGAATATAGTTATATATATGTATATAGATGGTTTTAGTGCTTTTAGATTGATTCTATGTTTCCTAAATTAAATAATGTAGCTTACTTTTGCTGGTCAATGATTGTAATAAGCATTTTATTTATTTATTAATCTTTATAAGAAAGTTACTATAGCAAGGACTGTACAGCTGTCGCAGTCTGGCTGTAGGAACTGTATGGGAAATGAAACAGCTGAAGGTGAAAGTGTTACATCATGAATAAATGGCAGGTGCACTGTTGGGCAGGATTGCAGAAAACACATTTTCTGACATATTTGTGGAAAGGACAAATTGATCGAAAACAGTTCCGACTAAAAAAAAGTTGGCATAATAGGGACACATTTCATAGCCCCTTCACAGCTCATAAAGATGGATTGTAGCAGAGACTGGAAAATTTGGAGAGATTATAGCTTTCTGAATCCAACCTGGGGAATTTAGAGGGGGTGGAGTAACTGCTCCATCTCTGGATACTTGCTGCATTATTCAATAAAGCTAACCTTTACAACCTAAAGGCTTCACAGTTATGAAGACTTAGCGATGAAGGTATTTGAGTAGCATTTGTTTAACCTTTTAAGTATTTGTATATTTATTGTTTTTAGCTTTAAACATTGTCTTTAATGATGTAAGCTGCCTTGGGTCCTTTTTAACAAGAAAGGTGAAAAAAAAAATTAAATAATACATAATTAAATCCTTTCTTCCTGATATATTGTTGCTCCTTTTTCTGACTGGATTGTAACAAACAGTCCAAAGAGAAGCACAAGCTTGCTGCAAAACACTACTACACAGGTGTCAAAAGCAAGGCCCGCGGGCCAGATCCGGCCCGCCAGACCTTGTCTGATGGCCCGTGGAGCCGCCGCCAGCCTTGCAGCCTCCCCCCTTTTTTTTTCAATGAATTTACTCCGTGCCTGCATGGAGTAAATTCATTGAAAAAATGGCTCAAGTTAACAAGGCTACGTCCTCCTTCCGATTGGCTGTGGCGCTGTCACTCCTTTCCTCTCCCTCCGCCCCCCGCTCCCCCTCCCTCCCTCCCGTGCCTGTTCCTCGCT